ATGTTTTGAGGAAGTTATTATTAATTTTAAAATAATATTAAATAATTTGATTAGTAGTATTATATAGTCCGGTTTAATGATCTTGGGGCCCGGGACCGATTGTCTATAGGCTATTACTAAGACGAGCTCTAGCGATAGCCGACGTTAGCGTAAAATAATTTATAATAATATAGTCGACGAGAATATTATAATTAGAAAAGTAGACGTCTATTAATTAACCGATCTTATACTTGTACTGGAAGAGCCGTTTTATAATATAAAAATACTGATAATAGGATAGTTAATTTATTTAATTGATGCGATGGATGCTATTTGGGGATTTATTTAAGTTAATTATAAAGTCTGGCTTTCGATATTTATTATGTTAGGCTTTGAATCTGTTCTGCTAAAGCTGTACGTTATTTTTACGGTCCCTTATCTTAGTGCCTTTAAGATTTTGAAGTGTAATAACTAGGTCTTATATTAAGTAGGTTTAATAGTCTTAGGTAGTAGGAGCTTTGAGTGCGGTTATTTTAGTAATAGTATATTACCTATAGTAAATAATTTTTAGTCCTTATTCTTATAGTATAAGGATAACGTATCCTTTGTTTTCTATTTTTATAATATTTATAAAGCTATCTTTTTTATTATAAATATAAACCGCGTATCCGATAGCCTTTTATATATTAATGAGTAAGATTACTATATTTTGGGCTAGATTATATTACGCGTTTTTAAAGTCTTACTATTCGAAGTTTAAATATTGTTATTATATCTATAGGCTATTAGCGGCTATCGTTAAAGGAGATTGTTTTAATATATATATCTTTTATATTTATATACTAGTTTTTAGGACGTCGATATTAAAGATTTAATTTATTATATACTATGTAATAGCTAAAGTTTAGGTAATAAGTTAAATAGGATAGAGGAGTTTATTATTTATTTAGCTTCTCTGCTACCCCTCTATAACTTTATTTTATAATTAATACCTGACTCGGGGCTAGAATTATATAGATCCGAGTCGGGATCTGCCTATATAAGCTACGTTATATTTTTTTAATAGATCCTCTATAACTATATATTTACCCGAATTACTTTTTAAAAGTAAGAGATGCTTATGAATATTAAAGTGCTTATATTAAGCTGGAGGTAACCTTTTATTTAATAGAATAAAAAAGATAAGGACTAAGATTTTATTACTGGATAAGTTTAGTACGAGGTATTAAAAAGAGGTTAATTATTCTTTTACGAATAAGTATAACTCCTTATAAATAAATTATAGGCTAGCTAGCTATGTTTAAGCTTTTAATAGCTCTTATTCGAAGACCTCGTAGTTTATATACTGGATTTAGATATATACTTTTTAGTTATAAGCTTTTATAGCTCTAAACCCGCTATTATATATATTTATTAGTTAGTTAATTTTAAGTTTGTAAAGTCTGTAGGTAGCGATAAATAAAAGTATATTATTATAATAATATAGGAGGCTAGTTAATTTTTAAAGTGTTATAGGTTATATAAAGTTAGAAAAATGAAATTAGTAATTAATTAAGTATATTATAAATAAACTGTTTTTATTTCGCTATTAAATATAGAGCGGTTTTGAGTAAATAATAGAACGTTAAAAACGGGCGAGCTCCTTTTATAGTAAGTATCGTAACGCGAATTTCGTTTTTAATAATATCTAGTACTAAAAGTACCTGTATCGTATTTAGTCTAGATATTTAGTATACGTAGCTTAGAACTATTTTTATTAATATTAATAAGTACTACGTTTAAACCAAAATTTAAAATAATTACTATTATTTTATAATACTACGTAAGGATAATAGTTATTTAAGATATTAAAGGATAGAATATTCTCGTCGACTTTATTATAATCTTCGGTAATAGCGGTATAATAGGCTAGATTAAGAACATTGCCGATTATCGGATCTATAATAATTTTCGGGGTAACGACGGCCGTACTTATATTATAAGGTTAGATAGGCGAGGATTAAGGTCCCGTTTTCTATAAAGTCGTAAAGGGAGGTTAGTTATTAATCTATATAAAGTGGCCTTTTTATATATTATATTAGGAAGATATAGGTATATCTAGTTATACCGGGTCCTCCTTTTTTTTAATAATTCTTAGTCTTTTTAACGTCTTTTAATACTCGGGGATAAAATACTACTACTCGCTATTATCTAGTTTTTAACAATGTTTTAGAACTTAAACTATAGTATTTATAATAGGGCTAGTTAAGAACTCCTCGACTACGTATTGTACTTTTTAGGCGAATACTATAAAAAAGTTTGTTTCTTTTACTTACTTTCCTAGAGTATTTTGAAAACTAGTCCGGTTATATTAATATAGTACCTTTATAAATAACGCGAGGATATAGAGGTAGTATACCGGTCGGCCGAGTTTATTTTAGATATTATAAAGATTTTTTCAAGCTACTATATACTGACTTTAAGTAGCTACTTTTAACTTCGTTATCGGCTTATCGTTAACTAGGTCTTTTATATATATAAGTCTGTATATAATTTCGTATTTTATAAATTTACTATTTTAGTAATTTTTTAAAAAGAATATTAAAGGGGCTAGGTGCTTGTGTATATTGTATATATCCGTTTAGGTATTTAAGCGGTTATAGTAAGATAGTAGATTAGGAAGTAAGGTATTTCGATATAGTGGTCGAGTAGAAAGGTAGAAAGATAGAAAGATAGAAAGGTAGAAAAGTAAAAAGGTAGAAAGGTAGAAAGGTAGAAAAGTAAAAAGGTAGAAAGGTAGAAAGGTAGAAAGGTAAAAAGGTAGTACGGTATAGCTATTAGAGTTCGACTATTAGAACCGGGCGTATAGGGAAACTATCTTAAGACTACTAGGTATTTAAGATTAATATATTAGTGTTTTAGTATGGAGACGAAAATGGCGTTTATTAGCTGAGGTGACTTAACTGTATGTTGGAGATATAAAGGTACTGAGGGCGTTTTAAAGCCTTTGTTATTAATATATTTCCTAGGACTGTTATTTATTCGCTATTTAGCCCTCGTACTCACTTCTTATTTACCCTGCTTACCCCCCTCACCCCGATCGCCCGTCCTTATGGCGGCGGGTGATCCGGCCGTACCTAAGCGACATAGTGGCAATCTCTAGAAGATGGTGTCGCAACGCCACACGTGGCGCTGCCCACTTATTGCCGTACGAGACCGCTTACTACGAGACGAGTGCCCTCTTCGTACGGTATTTAGATACGACCCCTTACGGGTCCCATACTTAGAAGAATCAAGCCACTTCCTACTGTATATGTCTTCCACTTGGATCCTCGCTTTGTAATAGATGGCTTCTCCAGATTACTACTAAATTACCGCGCCGATGTGCGTAAAACTAACCTATCCATAGATTCAATACATTGGATACATTACTAGTGATATCAATGTGAAGGATGTTCCACAAACAACAAAGTCTTAAGTGTTTTGTATTACTCTAAATATCTTCAACTTGATTGTGTATTGAAGAAAAGCCTGGTGAAAGCTGTTGTAAGAGAGCACAACTACGTCTGTACACAAAGTCAGCTGTCATCAACGCAAAACAGATCAGTTGCTGCATAATTGTGAGAAGGTGGTATTTTCTTTTTATTTTTTTTATTTTGAGCAAATAGCTCCTCGCTATGTCCTTTTTACACACCTTATCTTACTTCAGATTCCTGGCTAGAAAACATCCGATTGTGCCTCAATCATACTCTTCCTCTAGTCACGTAAAAAGATAACGGTACAACTCCCCGGGACTGGAGTATCCAATACTGAGGACACGCGAGTGCCCAAATATCGTTGTCTAGATACCACATCTGGCTCATAGACCCAGATCGTACAAGTCCGTCAAAGAGACCGTAGAGTTCGCCTCCCCGTCATTAGCAATTGGAGGTAGAAACGATCTCGGAGCAATAATACTGTCTTGTCAATGACGGATCCTTGAAGCTTCATTCAACGGCTACAGGCTCGAAGGCTTCTAGGATGCGATTCTGTTTCAAACGGACAATTCGCAACGACTGACCATTGGCGATAGCCTCCATTTCTCTGGATGCCTCAGATGTGGCTCTTAAAGCTTAACAAATCATGAATGGCATCCATCAAGGTAAGTTGACCACACCGCACCAAAGGTGAGCCTTGATGGTTTTGGTTTAGGGTCAACGATTTCTAACCTCTTTGAATCGAGAGCTTTTCTGGGACCCTTCAGGCCTCAGGACTCCGAACGGTGGTCTATTTGCCAGGATTCTTGCACGGTTCCATCACAACGCGTCTAATCATACAAGCGCGTTTATCTCACCAACTCACGCATTGGGGATATGTTCGAGCTCAAGTATAATTGCAGAGGGTTGCCAGTAAGGTCGCGAGTAGCCCACTGTTGTCAGGTCGAAAAGAAGCCTCGCAGGTAGCCTCGAACCAGCCATCAAAACAAGGTTAAGGTATTCGTTTTGCTTTCCGTCTAGCGGGTCTTTCCCCGACCCCCTGAAGTATGCCTGCGCCCAGGCGGAGTAATAAGCCCGCGTCAGAAGCACGAAAACATGTGTACATACATGAAATCAAACACTTACTTTGGGAACGAGAACAGTACAACTATCACAGCAAACTAATTGTCGGCTGCAAGTACTTCGTAGTGCCAGACGCTTCCACTGTTCTCACCAGACGTGTCAGAACAGCCAGTGGGTCATCGCCTCTGTCTCATTCGGAAAATGTAAGCAGCCAACTCGGAGCCGACCCCCCATAGTATCCAGCCTGGATGTCAAATGCCCACAAAATCTAAGCAGCCAGGCTCAGCGGCCGTTTCCACTGTCCTAAAATCTGACGGTCGTGTTTGCTGTGTTTTGGCGAGTTAAATGGTCAATTCGGTGATCACTTCCCTCATTTGGGATGGCTTAGACCGGGAGGACAGGGCAAAACAGGCAGTAAGGTCTCATTTGCCAACGCTTGGCAGCGCGTAAGAAGAAATGACTTTGCACCCAATGGTGCCATATGCCAGAATCCAACCCGCTAAACCGACGAACCAGCGGCCCGTTGCACCAGCTTCGTCTCGTATGGAGGACAACAATTATGCAGCCACCCGCAGGGCTGACCCTTCAGGTCCCCATAAGCTGAATCCTTTGACGAAAGCCCCTTCGACCCGCGGCGTTGCGGATCTCATCTTCCAGCCGAACTTATTTCCCGCTAATGTTTAATGATCTTGGTCCCATTCAGGGAACCCTGTTCACAACTTTCTCCCCGCGACAACCATAATTCCAGGAAACTTGTCCTGTCCTTGCACCTCGAAGCCATGGATTTCGACGCGAATCGATGGCGATTCAGCCTCCAAACTTTTGTGGCCGCGGCATCCATCGCGGTCCATGCGTCTTTCGCGCAAGAATGCGCGTATAAAGGAGGATGGGCGCTTCGAAACGATAGGTCATGTCCGCCGAGCGCACCTGTCGAGTGTGGCACAGGAGCGCAGCCGAGATGCTGCCCCTCGGGCTTCAAATGCACTGGAGATGGTGACTACGTGGGCAACTACTGTTGTGAAGGTTGGTAAACGCTGTTTCGACACTTCAATCAACATGATCCTGATCCCAGATCAATAGATCCTTCTGACTGCAGGGACTTGTCCTTAAAGTACCCTAAGGTGAGGGCAACTGCAATCCAGCTCCTCGAGCATCGGAGCAATGCTGATCCTACTTTTCATCATAGTGTCCTAATTCAGATTGGACTCTCTGGGGGGTCGACGGAAAGCTCGACAATGGTGGATGGTGCTGCCAATCCGGGCAAAACGGGACATACCGCGATAACTCGAACGGAATCGCCCTGCTGTGTACTCCCACGACGGCGACAGCACTTGCTTCAGATATCTTCTGGGCCGAGACAGTTAGCACCTCATCCTGTTCCACGTCATCGACGACTTCGACACTTGCCACAGCATCAGCGACTGCGACTGCAGCATCCACGGCCGCAACCACTACTGCCGGAGCTTCCGCCACGACTGCGATTACGGCCTCCGCTACGCCATCGGGAACGAACGATTCAACCTCAATGTCCACCGGGGCGATAGCCGGTGCTGCGGTCGGAGGTGTCGCCGGCGGAATCCTGATCATTGCGGGAATCTTCTTCCTCTGGCGGAGGAAGAAGAGAAGCTCGGCTGATGCAACACCTACGACAGAGGCGAGCTCTTCGACGTGGGCGTACGAACGAAAGGCTGGACAGGGATACGGAGGAAATGGTGGCGGGGTGAACGAGCTTGCAGTTCCGGAACCACGGGCAGAGATGGATTCCGCGATGCAACCGACTTACGAACTTGATGCTGCGGCATCAAATACGCCTGAACTAGACGCAGCGCACTCTGGTGCAAGACCGGCTCTAAGGGACGATTTGAAGTACCGATAGAACAAATATGTTACGTGATATCCAAGCATGCGTTAGACTGTACCTAAGTACGTTATAAAGAGAAAACAAAAACATGAAAATACCGCTCATTGCAGTTAAGCAACTTTGTACGGGAGCATGATATCCCAATCTTTAAGTATATCATGTGTAATTTCCAACGTTCCCGTTCCAACCGCTCATCGCGCACGCGTCCGCCGTCTGATCCGCCGCATTTTCAGGTTGCACAAGCAAGGCAAGTAAGTAATGACAGATACCTGAGAGTTAAGCATATCGCACAGCCTTCCTGCACACGGTTAGGTACGCTTCTCTCGTCAAGCAGAGAGCGCATCGATAATGACTTTTCTCATCACAGACGGCCACTCCCTTTGCGATGTTGGGTGACTGATGAGTAACCGTCTTTGGTTTGGCAAGACTTGCGACCTTCGGCACACATTTCTGGCAAAGGGTTAGCCATTCTACATATAGATAATCAAGGACTGCACAACAACTTACCGCTCAGTATCGAGAGAAATGTGAATGCCGTCAATCCCACCAAGATAATTGGCACAAGCTGCCCAAAGGAGGTTGCATCGTCTTCTTCGCTCTGCCCGCCTTCCTTGAGCTCGAGCCATCGCGACGTTTTCACCCAACGTCTCAGACTCATGATATAAAGGCTTGACATCACCACTGTTGTTCCGCAGATGCCTATTCCGCCAATAAGATATACTCCGTATGAGATTTTACCAACACCGGAGAAAATTTTGATAAAATAGTTGTCGTGCTTGCGCCAACCGTTATTCTCGGCGGCTTCGCGATGTTTTCTCCTACTTCGATAACAGCATCGGCCCAACTCTGCAAGAATGGAGACACCGTACCAAATCAGAATGACTAGGTAGAGGTTCCAGCCCTGAATGTAGTTTCCCGGAGTGCTCTGGAATAATGCCTTCTCCGCCGCTGTTCCATTTCTTACTGAGTCGAGTAGGAGGTGCTTCAACTGTTCAATGCTGTCTTCCCCAGTCTGAAAGCACACAGCATGATAAAACAGCAAGCTTTCTGTTTCATTACTGGGCGGCACCTTTGTTGGAAAAGGTAGGTCGTTGCTGGCATTCTGGTTTGACAGTAAGAGTCCAGTCATGGCGAATACGGCTGTAATGAAACAGACTCGTAGACAAGCGAGAAAGAACCTTTCGAAGTAGTTCTTTGAAATGACAACGGACATGAGGTGCGTCGCACAAGTGATCAGTAGCATGTTTGCGACAATGTTGTAGTGGTAAGCGGTTATGGAACAGCCTGCCCAAAACCTAATGGTCACGAGGTAGGCACCACCTGTGAAGACCTGTTGGTCGCTGCAAGAGATGACGAGAGCTTGAAAGAATTTCGATCGACTAAACTTGCTAGCCCAACGTGGTCTTTGAAAACCAGAAGTTTTGATCCTACTCAGCGGCCTGCTATTAGCTTGATATCCATATTCATTTGATTTCTGAAGGCGATGTCTTACCGTTGATGTTTCCTTGAACAATGTTTTACCATAGTCCATGTAACGTCAAAGACGCCAATGGCAAAGGCGAAAGATGCGACAGCGATAAAGACGGAAACAATCTTATAAACAGGTTAAAATCTCAACATCAAAAGAATAATGAGTGGCAGCTATACGCACTCCAATGCCCGCGATGTCCGGCTCGGGAGGGACTTCGCCGCGTCCATAGCCAGCGATAGTCTGAAAACCTCCAGATCCGTCCGGGGTGACGCTGCAGTCCACAGTCGTGTTGTAATGGCTCTTGCACTGCGCTATCGATATGGAAGCTCCCATGATGGTCCACTGGCTAGTATTCCGGCCACCAAGACAATAAACTTGAAAGTAAAGATAGACCTCGAATGTCATTGACTTTTTGTCAGCCGACGAAGGAAGGAAACCCCTGAGGATTTTATGTCATTGTAATGCTCTTGCGAAAGTATGCGTTCCAATATAATTATAAGGCTGGCCTCAACCTTTCTCTCTACACCGTCAAATTGGAGAATGTGACTCGAGCAGGCTGTGTGGGAAACACAGCATGCTTACTATGGCGTTCTTGTTCTGTGCCCTCTAGCCGCAACAGACAGGGATTAAGCTACCCTCCATGTCAGACTAAGCTGCACTTTATCTCAGCCCCGGCGGGTTCGAGGTAGGCTAGAATAACGCCACGTGGGGGCTATGGTGGACTATGGCTAGCTTTACCACTCCAGTGTTCGAGCCTACAGCTGTAGTCTAGGCGGTAGGATTCATTCGCATGATGTACGGCCACTAGACTGTTGAGGGTTTGATGGTGGTGTTGTGAATTATCTGACAGTTGGTTCACGTAGGTCATGTATAAATAATCGCGGCTAGACGTTCCAAGGGCTAGGTGGTTGCATGTATGGTGGCGGTGGCTCTCAAAAGCACTTCAGGGCCAAGATTGACAGTATGTGTAGGCCACCAAAAGCCTGAAACTCCTATCAAGTGTGAGACATTGAGCATCTATCACGAGAAATTGCCACCCCCTTGTGTCTCATGGAAATACTTCGTGAATGGGATGATGGGAGGGAGGGGCGGTGGGAGATGGGAAGTCTAGGAGAGGCTGAGACCAGGCATTGTCCATTTACAAGGTGACAGGCACCTGTTACTGCAAGACAGTTTCGAGAGTCAGATAACTTCGTTGATTCAATACATGCAAGAACTCTAAACCTTCTTTGATCAAGGCTTCAAGGGGCTACTAGCGGCGATTGCCTGCAGAGGGTTGCTGGCCATGTACGAGAAGCCCAGCTTAGCTACCGTAGTCAAGAGCCCGGTCGCAAGCAACATAGCAATGGAAAATCCAACGAGGCCAAATACCTCCAAATTTCCCACACCATTCGCAGGTCGCGGCCCATCTGCAGTCTCGGCGCCAGTCTTCGCATCATGATGCGGCACGTACTTGAACTCGTATTTGTATCCTCCCTTCAGGGTATCCTTGTTCTCCACGATGTAATCCCAGAACAGAGCCCGGAATGTCTAACGACTTTGTATTAGCACGTGAAAATCATTGGATAGCCCTATCAAACTTCGTAGCGGGCTTACCTTGATTTGCCACCTATCCCAGGCAGGGATAGAGCGTGATATATAAGTAATCACCATCAGAGTCCAGATGATACCTCTGATGACAGCATCCCAGTACAGACCAGGTTTCCCAAGCCCGACGTCATCGCACATCTCATCTCCGTTGATGAAGCGAGTTCCGGCCTCGAAGAACTCTTTCGGCTCATAAATGGGAGCAACGCCGTCCAAAGCAATGACCAAGTTGTTGGCCAAGGCTCGAGAGTTCTTGCTCGGGGCAAGACAGGCCTTCAAAAGCGACTCCATAGATGCCAATGCCCGCTCAGGTGTTTCCAAGATCCAGTGGGGAGTACCCAGGACGTAGCCGACCCATCGCCATAAAGCGAGGTAGTCTAGAGTTTCTTGGTGGCGAACGTAAATACCCTGTCGGGGCAGAGCCAGCCATACGAGGTTGGTAGAGAATGCACACACAGATTGCATCGAGTCAAGTTCGTTGATGGGAACACCATATTTATCGATATCAAAGTATCCGGGACGCTGTGTGTTGAGCTTCAGGATTCGTCCTCGCACCGCGGCATGCAGTAGTCTGACGCGCACGGCTGAAGCGAAGCCTTCGCCTCCAGGCTTGATGTCGTCGAGGGATTTCGTGACCTGCAGAAGGAGCTGAAATGTCTCAAAGAGTCTGTTCTTGGCGACCTTGGCAGAGTGACCGCCTGTACGAACCAATGTCTCTGCCGGTCGGTACGAGGCGCCCTATTAGTAGATCGCATTAGCATCTTCGCCGAGAGTTTATAACATCTCTGTCTTCTTCTCGCCACACTTACAGTCGTAGCCAGCAGTCCTTGGAACGCAAACCCAGTAACTGCAGCAGGCGCGTAGCGGTAGAAGACGTCCTGCCCACGCTTGATCTGGCCCCAGTCGACCCACTCAGGCACGGCGTTGACTTCGGCCCAGAGCTTCATCAGTCTCGGATCCTTCTCGCAATGGTCCCGAAGCAGAGCGTATGTATCGCGATCAGGCTGCGGGTCTTCCTGCTTCCCCTTGGCGTACCACCCAGCCCGAGGTGGTGGGGGAGGGAACATGCCATCTAGAGCTGCAAGAGCCTCTGACCCCACTTCATCGAACTTGTGCTTCAGCGGGTCAAGCTGCTCTGCTGATATGTGAAGCTCCGTCTGGCGAAACTTGTAGCCATATGAATCGATAAGAGATGGTGCCATGATTCCATACAGATGCGCAATGAGTACTTATGATTTGGCAAACGTCTTGTCGGATCAAGACAAGATTCTTTCGAGATGAATCAATCCGGAAAAGCTCTGCTCAACACCTATATTTATATCTAGAGATCATGTTCAAGAACGCAGTGAGCTACCCATGCAACTGCGGCAGCACTAGTCCTAATCTGTGACATTCGTACAGTTGCCCAACGAGCGACCCTATCAACTTCCATCCCTGCGCATACCTCAATGTTCCACTCGTTCGAGACGGTCAACCAAAACTCCATACTGCATGTCAATTGACTCCGCGAACAAGTTGCATGCGACGTTGATGGTGGCATAGAAGACGGAGAAACACCTGACAGCTCACTCTCCACCACGGCTGCTGCTGCGAGAGCACTAATTAGGTAGCAGGATAGCCGAGAAATGTCAGCGCCAAGGCATCGGCTGCGACACATGGCAACCCGATCGTCATCAATCTTCCGTCTGACGGTCTTTTCATTGCTTTCAGTGACACACATGTCTGCCAATGAGAAGCGATTCAATCAATACCGCAGGGCATGACTGCTCCCTGACTCTACTGGCTCATAACTGCAATTCAATGTGATACGCTGTAAGAACCGATGTTACTGAAGGGGTCTCACCCCAACACGCAGGTATGAGCATCCCGCAGTTGGATGATACATTGGTGCACCATGTGTTTGTTGCTCACGCATCTCAGTACCATGGACGAAATGTAATTGATCAATAGAATCCGCTTCAGAATACAATGCTAATGCTACGCATCAAGAACGCTATAGAATGAAAGCCGCAGTCGCTTAATTAAGCGTTGACACAGCTGAATTCGGACAGGCTGTAGTATCCGCACTTGTCCGTCGTCGTCTTCCAGGCCCTGCAGTTGCCGCACACACGGTTGACCGTGACTCTGCACAGAGAGGAGCTGCCGTAGCCGTTGGCGCCGCGCCAGTCCGAAGTCGTCAGCCCTCGGTCCGCGCCAGAGATGCGGGCCGAGACGGTAGAGCCATACTCTTTGGGGTTGGCGTACTTGTCAAACTTGCTACATCCCCAGAATATCACAGTTAGTCCAACATTCATATACTAATGCTAGGTTGATGAGAGAGGTGGTGTTCTTACGCCGTGCACGCGCAGTCCTGGGCGGCGGGGCAGTTGCCGCGAGCGACGAGCTCGGCGTTTTCAGTGGCAGGCGCGCTGGGAGCGGCGTAGGCAGTAGAGAAGAGGGCAATGGCCACGGGGACGAGTGAGAACTTCATGTTGAGTTGGCGAGGAAAGAGTTTCGAAAGAGTGAATCGAAGTCGGAGACTTGAGCAAGTAGTGAACGAGCGAATGAGTGACTGGCGTTGAAGGCTGAAAGACTAGGCTGACGTGTAATTCCCTTCGTCTTTGACATCCATATATATAACGTCGGCAGGCAGTTCATGACGGGAGTCATGCCAACGGCTCGGCATCAAACCACGAGCGTTTTCCCCGATACCATCTCGAAAGATTGCGATGAGACGAACTAATTCGATAAAGTTCGGATCGAACCCGATGCTTTGGCGCGCCTCGTCTCATGTTTGACCCAGTAATTCCCTATTGCAGAGCGCTGCGGCGAGAGCAAATCCGTGCTTTTCAGATGAGGCAGAGAAAGGATAATTGATTATTTGTTCCAGACTACGGCACCGGCGGCCCCGGCGTCGTCGCCATGCTCGTTGCTAAAGAATAAGATTAGGCTTGGACGGCGCCCTAAATCACCGCATTTCGTACTACGAGTCAGGCAAATGGCTCAAAATTGCGGGCGGTCGGTCTGGCCATGCCGTTGGCGCGCGCAACGACCAGGTGACTCGTGAGAGATTGGGCTTTTGAGTAAAGTGAGGTGCAATCTGATAACGCGAGTCGTCGCCAAGAAAGCAGTTTGTGAAGCGCTGGTAGTAAGCCTTGGCGCTTCAAGCTTTGAGATTGTAATGAGGAAGCCATGGTCTCACCGGTTGCATGCACCGATGATATGTAAGAGCAATTCTCTGGATTCATAGACATTGATTCGCTGCAATCTCTAGACGCATTAAGCCTAAAGTAGAAGAATGAAGCGCTGAATGTTCTATTGAATAGACTAGCAACTAAAAGGTGCGCTCGCTATGCTCCATTTTGGTTTAGTAATCCTGTCTCTTCTTCAATATCCCACTACACCGGAATAAGGTTCAAATTGAGAGGGCCTCTAGCACTTGAGGTCTCCGTTGATGTTGCTCAGGCACGTGTCTAGGTCAATTAGTCAGTACTTGTTGTGGTAATGGATGAACTTTCCATGATCATCTTACCTAGGTTCAGGGACGAAGGTCTCTTCGTTCCGGTGGAATCAGTGCAGCGGCAGTTCAAGATCTGCTTCTTGTCGCCGCCAAGACCGCAGTCGCAGAACTTGAACGATGGGCTTTTGCAATATGTCAGTATAAGGACTGTTGCACTTCAAGGGGTGTGGCTTACTTGGAAGGACGGCACTACGAATGAGTCACATTAGTTTGAATTCAACGTTGCCGCGACGCAGAGCTTGAGCTTCTGGGCATAAGACTTACGACAACCCTGCCTCCGACGTTGGCCAGGCACTTGGTCATATCCAAGTCGGTCGAGTAAGAGTCCTCCTGGTAATTGTCCTGACAGGATGACTTGACAGTGGTAGAGAAGTAGGACGTGCCAGAGCAGGTCGCTGAAAAGTCGCCAGCAGCGACTTCAAGGGCAGCCATGGCCAGGAGAGGAAGAGTAGCGAGTACGCGCATGGTGAAATGAGGTAATGAGTGAATAGTATTGAAAGAGTGGAAGAAGTGAATGGGCAAAAGAGTGTGAGTAGCCAAGCTGGTGATTCCAAAGATGGGCGGAAGAAAAGTTTCTAGGAGTTGTGCTGTATTTTATAGGTTTCTAGTATAACAGCAAGAGCTTCCTAGCAAGTCTGTCCGAGCGGGATAGAAGCACAGAGTCCTCAATGCGATAAGGACTAAATTGAGTACCTATCCGTAGTTGCCGAGTCGTGACTATGTGAAGCTTGATACATTAGGTAGAAACCTTAAACCACTTGAAGCTTACATGACTCTTGCCGCCGCGCAATGCGTGCATCGCGGGAAGGGCACCATTTAGGCGAACATTTCGCACCTTCGGAGGCAAATTTCGTTTTTCCGCATATTGCAGGGCGTGGGAAAGATGAGAAATCAAGCGGGCGTCGAGAAATGAGAATGCAGGTATCGATTGTCTCTTAATTCCCGAAAACGCTGACCGACTAATCACGCCCTAGCCTAAGAGCTCGTCCAGACCTTCCTCCTTCAGCGTCTCTCTGACGGCCTCTAGAACCTTGGCGTGGACTGATGGCGGTGCCGCGATGAAACCGTAGTTTGCCTTCATCTTCCGTCCTGCTACGAGGTTTACCGGGTTGCCATCGACATCGGTGACCTTACCGCCAACCTCCTCAAAAAGTAGCATAGCGCCCGCATGGTCCCAGATCTTTGCGAGACGGTCACGCCGCCTGTAGGCCCAGAATGTGCAATTTGCCTGGCCGAGACCGAGGACCGTCCACCGCAAAACCCAGCCGAGCAGATCGTTGCCCGGATACGCTACACCGAGGCGTTCGGCGACTTTTTGGTGGATACCCGGAGCCCCAGATTCGGAGCCCTCGATGCATGTCACTGACACCAGGGATTGCGTCTCCACGTCGGCGTGGCGGGGGATCTTTGTGGGCTCGAGGTCAATCGGGCCAGGAAGCGGCCGGATGAAGGTTCCGTGCCCTCTGACTGCGAACATGATGCTGCCGGTGCCGGTGGGGTCGATGGAATCGTTGTTGACCGGCGCCTTCGCGTCAGCCGAGAGCAGCGGCAGACCGACGATGCCGACGCTCTGCTTCCCTTCTTCCATCAGGCAGACGTTGATGGCGTAGAGCTCGCCCCGCACAAATGTCTTTGTTCCGTCAATGGGGTCAAACACCCAGAAGCGGCCAGTAGGTGAAGGATCGCTAAGACCGCACCAGTCAATCATGTCGCACATCTCCTCTGGTGACGTAGGCAGCTTGCATAATGAGTCGGCGGTCTTGTCGTTCTCGACCTGCTGCAGCAGCGCCCATACAGACTCGAGGAGTTTGGGATTCTCACGGAGGTCAGCAGCGGACTCCTCGCCCACAAACTTATCGTCGGGGAAGGCGGCGTGCAGTGTGCTCGTCAGTAGGGCCTGGATGGCAAAGTCGGCAACGGTGACTGGGCTGAGGTCCTCTTTTGTCACGACGCCCTTGTCATCTTTGACGAGGACGCGGCGGCTGAGCTTGGCGCCGTGTTGTATGGCTGCAATGGCAGTTGCCAATTCTCGAGCATACGGTCCGTCCATTTTCGTTGCTGGGTGATGCCGTCTATCGGGGGAAACGGTGAGATGAGGTGGGTGGTGTTGAGAGTAGTGTCGACGATAGGTGGGGTGGATTTGACAGCGCTGATCAGTGGTCGTGTAGAGTGGGTTCGATGAGTACCAGTTGATGAGTCAGGCGATTGATGTGGATGCGATGTGAATGCAGATGCGGATGCGAATATTTACCTTATGCAGGTGTTATGTTCGCAACCGGGAAGATGGCTGGTGGTAGTGGTGAACTGCGAATGTCGCCGCGTAAAGTGGTTGAATGCAGTTTCTGGAATGGCGCCGATGATGTCAGACCACAAGTTCAGGCAGGGTAGGCACGCTTTTCCCAAGCGCCTTCCCGATGCAAATTTTGCCGGAAGAACTCCGGTGACGTGGGACCTGGAAGGAGTGGCCCCGGCATCGGCGTCGGCAGCCCCGGTTCGAAAAGCGGGTCTGTATCCGCTATCAAGAGCTTCGGATCCGATCTGAAATGGAGTAGCAACGACATTCAATGTGGAAAGAGCTTACAAATGGGAAGTAGGGGGTATCACAAGGTCTTGGCTGTTGATATATGTAAGGTATAAGTTACAAAGTTGAAGAGACACGCCCTGAGTTCAACCATTGGCCCCAAATCTCATTTTGGCAGATCCCATGTGCAGGTTTGCATGATGTGTTTCCCTGGTGGAGGTCAGGTAAGCAAATCCGCCATTCAAGTCACGGTAAGGGAGAATCAGGTGCTTACTGTCTTTCCATGTACGTTTCTTATGGAACAACACAGCTCGCACATACCAAAGCCTGGTACACCACACGGCCGCCAGCGCATCTCGCATCGCCCGGTCCAGGGATACCAGTATATTGAGACTGTACATGCCGCTCTTGGACTCCTCAACTGCTATTCGTGTTCCATTCCCGTCAAGCCAGTCGAAAACTTGGTTATTGCGGCGAACGTCGAACAGTAGCTCTCGCGCCTCGTAATACTCGGTCCTGTCACTCGCCTTTCGCCGGCCCACCAGCCAGGCCTTGCATTCGCTTTTGCCGACTTTCAAAAACTTGAGCCCAATGCTGCCCAGGCCACTTCGAGATGTTGGTTTGATGTAGTACGGGAAAGTCTCCTGGAGAATGGCTGGAGGGCGCTCCAAGTTGAAGATGTGCCTCGAGTTTGTGACAATTTCGGGCAGATGGTTCGACTCATTGAGACGTCTCTTGATGCTGTAGTCGATGCGGCTGAACTCCACTAGTCTATCGGTTTCTCGTAAGAAGTCTATCTGGTGGTTGATCTCGAAGATTCCCGGCGCATCCGCATTCCGGGTGTTGGCGGAGTGGACGAATCGGCCAGCCAGGCGGAGTGTATCTGGCGGCAAGTTCTCTGAGACAGTACCAGCATCTACCGTATAGTCTGGCGGAAGATCCTGGTTGGTGTCGATCTGTGCCATCTGGTCTTTCAATCTCTTCTTTTCTAGAACTACAGCCAATGATGACTATTGGAGCTGGTTGAGCAGCGGCTTCGAAGAACCGTCAGACAGATCGAACGATTGTAGGAGGAGCAGCGCCTTGGATACGATACTGGCCGAATGGATTGCAGTGAAACGAAAGCCTAGCTGTCGAGCGTGGTGACATGTTTTTGATCAATGAGGTCATGTGCAACATCGAATGAGCCGCGACAGGTTCAAGTGGCAAGCGTTGCTCGAGCATACGCCTGCACGTGCGACAGACAGTTCATTGGCTCTTTTGTTTGGCTGCCTAAGTGAGCGGGCGATAAAGAAACGTTGAAGCGCTACATCGCTCGGGACTGCGGCAAACGCGATTGGGTATTGGGTCGTGTGCTCTGTCAGCAACTCGCCGGAACTTGAAAGTGCGGCATAATGTCGGAAATGCCTCAACGCTGTGGTCAGCTGCGCCTAGTTTTGCCCGACTTGTATGGCAAATTATCGAAAAACGGATTTGATGATGCGGGTGGCCTCAAGATTAGCTAC